CTTTTTTTTACTATCTTTCATTTAATACGAAGGCAAAAAGTCACTCAAGATAGAGGGTTACTAAATAAGGTAGTTTTATTGTCATGAATTAAGATTTGCATATTATAAGGACATATAGGAGAGATAACAGTTGACCTTAGATCTAAAGGGTTTAAGCTTGTAGTGATCAAGTATGCATCCTCTAATGAGTTTTCAGTGGAACTTACTTTTTACCAATGGAATACAAAGGGGAGGAGAATGAGCCGACCATATGTATGCAGCTGGTCCTAGGTGAGGAGATACGAACTGAAGAAGCAAAGGATTGTAACTTATCTGATTACTTGCCATTAAAATAGATAGAATTTGGAGAGGCCGATATCAAGCAACTAAAAAAAAAAAAAAATTAAATATCTAAGATGTGTTTTAATAGAGAATGGAAAATGCGACACCCAAATCCGAAGACACATTGAGATAGCGAAAGGAGCCGTCTAAAAGCTAAGTAAAGTATTAAGAAATAGGAAAACCTCGTTAGAAACAAAGAAAAGATAACTGAACTGTTATATAATATCAATCCTTCTGTATTGCTGCGAATGCTGGACAATCTTCTCGCAGATGAAGAAGAGACTTGAAGCAATAGAAACAAAGAAAAGAGTACTGAAATGTTATGTAATATCAGTCCTCCTATATGGCAGTGAATGCTGGCCACTCATATCCCAGATGAAGAAGAGACTTGAAGCAAGAGAAACAATGAAAAGAGTACTAAACGGTTATTCAATATCTATATGGCAGTGTAGAAGAAATTGAGGCAATAGAAACAAAGAAAAAGATAATAAGTGTTCTGTAATATCAGTCCTCCTATATGGCAGTGAATGCTGGACAATCTCCTCACAGATGAAGAAGAGACTTGAAGCAAGAGAAACAAAGAAAAGAGTACTGAACTGTTATATAATATCAGTTCTCCTATATGGCAGTGAATGCTGGACAATCTCCTCACAGATAAAGAAGTGACTTGAAGCAAGAGAAACAAAGAAAAGAGTATTGAACTGTTATGTAATATCAGTCCTCCTATATGGCAGTGAATGCTGGACAATCTCCTCACAGATGAAGAAGAGACTTGAAGCAAGTGAAACAAAGAAAAGAGTACTGAACTGTTATATAATATCAGTTCTCCTATATGGCAGTGAATATGGACAATCTCCTCACAGATAAAAAGTGACTTGAAGCAAGAGAACAAAAAAAAAGATACTGAACTGTTATGTAATATCAGTTCTCCTATATAACAGAATGCTGGACAATCTCCTCACAGATAAAAAAGTGACTTGAAGCAAGAGAAACAAAGAAAAGAGTATTGAACTGTTATGTAATATCAGTCCTCCTATATGGCAGTGAATGCTGGACAATCTCCTCAGAGATACTTGAAGCAAGTGAAACAAAGAAAAAAAGAGTAATAAATTGTTATGATATCAGTCCTCCTATATGGCAGTGAATGCTGGACAATCTCCTCACAGATAAAGAAATGACTTGAAGCAAGAGAAACAAAGAAAAGAGTATTGAACTGTTATGTAATATCAGTCCTCCTATATGGCAGTGAATGCTGGACAATCTCCTCACAGATGAAGAAGAGACTTGAAGCAATAGAAACAAAGAAAAGAGCACTAAATTGTTATGTAATATCAGTCCTCCTATCTGGCAGTGAATGCTGGACAATCTCCTCACAGATGAAGAAGAGACCTGAAGCAAGAGAAACAAAGAAAAGAGTAATAAATTGTTATGTAATATCAAAAGTGAATGCTGGACAATCTCCTAGATAAAGAAAACTTGTATTGAACTGTTATGTAATATCAGTCCTCCTATATGGCAGTGAATGCTGGACAATCTCCTCACAGATGAAGAAGAGACTTGAAGCAATAGAAACAAAGAAAAAGAGCACTAAATTGTTATGTAATATCAGTCCTCCTATCTGGCAGTGAATGCTGGACAATCTCCTCACAGATGAAGAAGAGACCTGAAGCAAGAGAAACAAAGAAAAGAGTAATAAATTGTTATGTAATATCAGTCCTCCTATATGGCAGTGAATGCTGGACAATCTCCTCACAGATAAAGAAATGACTTGAAGCAAGAGAAACAAAGAAAAGAGTATTGAACTGTTATGTAATATCAGTCCTCCTATATGGCAGTGAATACTGGACAATTTCCACATAGATGAAGAAGAGACTTGAAGCAAGAGAAACAAAGAAAAGAGTACCGACTTCTTATGTAATATCAGTCCTCCTATATGGCAGTGAATGCTGGACAATCTCCACATAGTTGAAGAAGAGACTTGAAACAAGAGAAACAAAGAAAAGTGTACTGAACTGTTATGTAATATCAGTCCTTCGATATGGCAGTGAATGCTGGACAATCTCCTCAGAGATGAAGAAGAGACTTTCATCAAGAGAAACAAAGAAAAGAATACTGAAGTCTCATGTAATATCAATCCTCCTATAATCCATTGAATGCTGGACAATCTCAATGTAGTTCTACAGAAGGATGCTTAGAATACCATGAACTGGACATGTGAGAAATGACGTTTTAGAGAAAATAGAAACAAAAAGGTCGCTGATACTTAACATCAGTAAGAGACAATCGAAATTTCTAGCACATATAATGAGGAAAGAGGGACGGAAAAATTTGATACTCGCGGGGTATTTTAAACTTGAAATGGACAGATAAACCGCGAATAATCTACACAACAAACTTGTTCCTGAAGGAACATGGCAAGAAGAAGAACGAGCTTGAGTAAATGAATGACTGAACAGGGTTTAGGAGAAATATCGAAAAGACAACATTTACTAACGGCTACAAAGAACAGGAAATTGTGGAAAGCCATGATCGCCAATACCCTGAAAGTATACAGCACGTAGAAAAAGAAAGAGCTTGTATAAATGACTGGCAGAACAGGGATTAAGAGAGACAGTAAGAAGACAAACCTTACTAAGAGCTACAAAGAACAGGAAATTGTTGACAGCCAGGATTTTCCACGTCCTAAATGGATACGGCACATAGAAGAAAAAAAAAGGATAGTAACGTTTCATTTGTGGGAGAGTGGTTGTAGAGTAAAAAAAAAAAATTAATCACCCATAAAGCTGCACAAAAACAACTACCAAATCTGGAATGTGACCATTGGGAAACTTCAATTTAGATATGGCAGCAATACTCCATTATTGAATTCTTGTAAAGATAAAACATTGTAATAGGTGTCAGATGCTTTCTGGAGCGGTACACAGAACCAGCAGGGGTGATATGAACATATGAATCTCACTTAAGGTCTGAAGTGAGCTTCAGTCCCCCAAAAGGTCCGAGGCAAGGAGTCTAATTGAGTATACAACCGTTTATCAGGACTGGAGTAAATTTAAGTTTTAATCGCTGGTGATGAAGCGTTAGTAGTGTTGTTTTTGAGGTTCTGAAATATTCAAACCAGTCATTTCGCCACTGATCTGTAAGAGCTAGATCAACTAAGAGATCAGCTTTCAAGCTCTGGTCATGTAGGTTTTTCGTCGTGTACCATACATGTATATATTTATTAATAATTTGAGAATGCTAAGTAGATTAATATAATATAGATATAGAGTATGAACGAGGAGAAAGCCTTAGTAGATGTCAGCATTGATATTATGACTGTCCTTTAACAACAAACTACATAGCTGATAGGAATATGCCACACCCTGAATACTGACGTGTTTACGACATGGGAAAACTAATATTAATATGTTTCTATTGGACATAAAGTGGGATGTCGGTTTCATATTTCTGTTAAGCAATAAAAATGATTGTTTCCAAGATTACTATATATTAATATAATAATTGGAAAATATATTTAAAGAATCACATTTGAAAACATTTTAATAACAAAATAGTCCGACATGTTTGACGGGATAGATAAATTAGTAAAGAAATAAAACTTTAGGGAATTTTAAAATTTTGAATTTCCACTTCCAACACTGTTCAAGAAAATATTTATAATAAAAACTGCGTAGAGAAGAACACGCTTTCAAACTTGAGCTCTTAATCCATTTTATGGCCCCGTTTTAATTTCATTCTATACAAGTAACAAACGTTTCACTGAATAAATGTTTGAATAAAATATTTTGAAACTGAAAATCTCCAAGGCCTCACTCGAAATTGATCAATTTTCAAAGCTCTCTATTTCAAAGACCAATTCTTTCCCTTCCATAATCTTCACGGTCTTTGATTCCCCAGAATCGTTTTCATGCATTAACACACAAATAAAAACAGATATTTTGACAGCGCAGCCCCATAAGGAATTGATTCATTAATTAAACCAAAATGTAATTAAATCGAAAAAGGTCAATATTGTTTGTCTTCTAAGTTAATTTTATCAAGAAATTAAGTGGGTTGTTTATAATTACATTTTTAATTCATTTTTCTTTCTTTCTTTTATTCTTTTCTTTTATTCTTTTCTTTCTTTCTTTATGGGTGTATTTAAATGTATCTGTGTGTACAAGTGTATTTGGTAACTGTATCTACAATGCTGACAAAAAGCGCGCGTATAATTGGGATTCATCTCTACATATAACTTTCATCTGACGTATATGTTAATTTGCATTTTCGAACGTCAGTATAGTAGTGTGTATATGTGCGCATGTAATTATTTTAGTGTGAACCTCAATCCATGTGCATGTGTGTTTGTTTTTACGTTGCTTTAAGATGGAGTTTCTATCTAAAAATAAAAGAACCAAGGTAAAAGGTCGAGTGGACAAAAGCACACCAGATAAGTCGGTAATTTCTCTTGCATGGGAGGAATTCAGACACGAACTGGACCGGAGAGCACATTTTCTCTATTAAGTTTTCTCGAGTGCGTAAACCGATAAAAGTAATACAGTTTGTTTAAAAAACGAGGCGTCTACTCAAACACGCGTATGAAAATGATGAAAACTTTAATAGAAAAAGATGAAAAGATTAGAAATATTTAGAAAAATGAAAGAAAGTAAGTTAGGAAGGAATAAGAAATAATAAATCATTTAAAAATGTAATGTATAGGAAATGGCAAAGAACGAAAGAAAAAAGAAAGAAATAAAGTGGTACGAAATAAGAAAGAAAGAAAGAAAGAAAGAAAGAAAGTAGGGATTAGAAAGAAAGAAAGAAAGAAAGAAAGAAAGAAAGAAAGAAAGAAAGAAAGAAACTAGGGATTAGAAAGAAAGAAAGAAAGAAAGAAAGAAAGAAAGAAACGAATGAATAATAAATTGTTTAAAAAAGTAAATTATAGGGATAGGGAAAGAAAGAAAAAAAAGAAAGAAAGAAAGAAAGAAAGTAATTTAGGAAGGAATAAAAAATAATAAATCATTTAAAAATGTAAAGTATAGGAAATGGCAAAGAACGAAAGAAAGAAAGAAAAAATAAATTAAATAAAGTGGTACGAAATAAGAAAGAAAGAAAGAAAGAAAGAAAGAAAGAAAGAAAGAAAGAAAGAAAGAAACTAGGGATTATAAAGAAAGAAACAAACGAATGAATAATAAATTGTTAAAAAAAGTAAATTATAGGGATAGGGAAAAAAGAAAGAAAGAAAGAAAGAAAGAAAGAAAGAAAGAAAGAAAAAATTGAAAGTAAAGATGGAAAAATATAAAGCAAATATATTTGAGGCCAGTTTTAGCACATAGAAAGAAAGAAAGAAAGAAAGAAAGAAAAGAAAGAAAGAAAGAAAGAAGTAGAGAATAATAAATAAATAAATAAACGAAGAAAGTTAGGAAGGAATAAAAAATAATAAATTATTTAAAAATATAAATTATATAGATAGGGAAATAAATAAATAAATTAATAAATAAATAAATAAATAAATTAATAAAGAAATAAATAAATAAATTAATAAAGAAATAAATAAATAAAGAGAGAAAATATAAAACATGATGGAAAGGGGAATAATAAGCAAACTGACAGTTGATCTAAAAATGACTTACAGACTTTTAATCTACAATCTACAAGGAATGTGATAATTTTAACTCCAAAACAAAACTGCTCTCTAAATCATATAAGAGTCCCTTCGGCATGGCTGATGGTAACCTCCAGAAGAGTGACTCTGCGTTTTCTCGGGCTAACATTCTCTGCTGACATGAAGTGGATAGATTATATTGAATCAATTGCTATGACTGCTGCTAAGAAGGTTGGTTCACTGTGACGTGCTAGATCGTTTTTATCTCCAGAATCTATCTTACATATTTATAAGTCTACGATTCGTCCATGCTTCGAGTATTACTGTCACATCCAGTCTAGTGCTCCTGCTATATATTTAGAAATTCTTAATAAAATCCAAGGAAGAATCTGCAATGTTATTGGTGCTGACCTGACATCCCAGCTTCAGTCACTTATCCACCGCCATAATGTAGCTTCACTGTGCCTTTTTTAAAAATAAATATTTTCATGTTAATTGTTCTGATGAACTTTCCTCTATGGTACCTAGACTTTATGAATTTAACCACACTACTAGATTGGCAGCTAGGTCTCATTATTTTACAGTTGAAATGGTTAGATGTAACCCTAAGTTCTATGCTAAGAGCTTCTTCTATTGCGCTTCTCGCTCGCGGAACTCTCTCCTGGCTAATTGCTTTCTAGCCAGCGTTGATCTTCAAGAATTTAAATGCAATGTCAATCGTTATATATTGTCTTCTTGATTCCTCTTCTTTCGTTGTTCTCTCTCCTTAATAATGTGCTTATTTTTCCTATTCTTTCACACTTAGTAACTCCTTGTGTCCGAGTGGCTTTATTGCCTTGCTTGGGGTGAAATGATTAAAGAAAAAATCCTGAAAGAGTATTGATTAACCAGGAAAGAGAGCAAAGATTTAAGAATGGGAATATAAGGCATACATGTTATTTTAAAGGCTTTAAAAAATTAAACGTTCTTTTTAGAACAAGTGAGAATTAATTTCTGAGAAATAAAAAAGAAATAATATTATAATGAAATGACAAATAAAACACAGAAAAATAAAATATTTTCGTGGTAATTGTTCTGATGACCTTTCTATAGTACCCAGACCTTATGCATTTAAGCGCAGTACTAGACTGGCAACAAGATATCATTTTATTGTCGAACTAGCTAGATGTAACCGTAAGTTCTATGTTAAGAGTTTCTTCTATTGCGCTTCTCGCTTGTGGAACTCTCTTTCGACTTCTTCCACTCAAATTTGATCGTTATCTACTCTCTTCTTAATTCGTGTTCTTTTACTATTTTCGCTCCTTAATAGAGTTTCTTTTCTTCACATTTTCTAATACCCACTTGTGTCGTCGTGGCTTTATTGCCTTGTTTGGGGCAAAATGATTGAAAAAATTAATTAAAGATATTCATACATATTATTGTATAGATAATTATTGCAATTATTATATAGATAATTGCTTATAAAAATTCTCAATCAAGTCTGTGCTACTGTACATTGTATGAAGAGAAAGTATGTTATCTTGTAACTTTTAATAAATGTAGAAGTTTAAAAATATCTTCTTACCATTGAATAACTTTTCTTTTTGAGATCTGACATTATGAAAAATTGAAAGGTCTTTCCTTGCTATTATCTTTATCTGACTTTGATTAAGGCTTCCTTTTAGTTGATTAGATTAAGCTTATAATTTATTTTCTATTCTCATTTTAGGCTTATAATTTATTTTTTATTTTCATTTTTGCAACTGCATATCTATTTTTCTGACAAAAGTAACTTCACGTACAAGAAATAAAAAAATGACGTTTTAAAGGTCGTGTCTTGTGTGAAAGATATGTTTTCAAGTTCGTAAAGAAAATTTCGAAAATCAAATGAAAGCTTTATGTTTAAGCTACTCTTTTTTTATCGTTACTATACTATTCTTATATGTACTCTCTACCTTCAGGAAGTGGGCGATCATGGTTCTTCACATTTTCCTGTCTTTTACAGCTCTTAATTTTTTTTTATCTCTCCAAATATCTGCGCTGTAATCCATGTACACAAGCTTGTTAGGTAGGTTACGAATAGTTTTCTTCTGTACCTCTTGCCTTTAATATGTCCTGTGAGTTTCACATTTTCTAAGCCCTCTTTCCTCATTATGCACCCGAGAAACTTCAACTGTCTCTGATGTAAATATTAGTATATTTTTTGTTTACATTTTTTGCAAGCTTTGTTGTTCACATGTTCAGACCATTGTGTAGAACCACATTTTGTTACTTCAAACCTCTTTTCATTTGTGAGAAGATTGTCCAGCATCCACTGCCATAACAGTTCATAATCTTTTCTTTTTTCTAATTAAATTTCTTAATACTTTACTTAGTTTTTGGAAGGCACCTTTCGCTATCCCAATGCATCTTTGTATTTCGGTTTCCCATTTTATCATCGAAAAACTTTCGAGATATTTAATTTTTTACTTAATTCGCATAATTTAATTCTTTCTTCTAGATTTTATTCACTATTTTCTGTAGAAGTTCCTGTTGTTTTTTTTTGTGTCTGCTATCAACACTGTGTCATCTAATGTCATTAAAATTGTGACGGCCAATAAGGAATCCGGGTCTTCTTCTTCTTCTTCTTCTTCTTCTTTGTGCCGGTTCCCTTTAAGATATTGGCTATCATGGCTCTCCACAATTTCCTGTCCCTTATAGCTCTTAATAATGTTTATCTTTTAGTACCTCACCCAAACCTTGTTCTGCCACCAATTCACACAAGCTCACCGGGTAAGTTGTACGTTGCTTTACTCTCATTCCCTTAATCTTCAATCTGTCTTGTGACCATCAAATTTGCCAAATTTATCGGTTCCATGAACTGTCTCCTCCTAGCGTTCAATAAAAGTGTTCTTTTTATTGCTATTGTCTCTAGAAATTCGTAATTGCTCACATGTTCGATCCATTGTATTCTCAACATCCTTCTGTAGATCGACATTTCTGTTATCTCAAATCTCTTCTGTGAGGAGATTATCCAGCATTCACTGCCAAATAGGAGGACTGATATTACATAACAGTTCAGTACTCTTTTCTTTCTTTCTCTTGCTTCAAATCTCTTCTTTATCTTTGAGGAGATTGTCCAGTATCCACTGCCATATAGGAGGACTGATATTGCATAACTGTTTAGTACCCTTTTCTTTGTTTCTAACGATTTTTATGTTTCTTAATACTTTGTTAAGCTTTTGAAAGGCATTTTTCTCTACCCCAATGTAATTTCGGGTTTCCGTGTAGCACTTTCCGTCCTTTGTTAATACGCTTCCCAGATATCTCGATAGTTATACCTGTTTGATTTCGGTATTTCCAATCTGTAATTTACATGTTGGGTTGTTCCTTTTACTAACAGCCACGCATTCCATCTTCTTGCAATTGAGGTTTAGTCTTTTCTTCGCGCTTTCCTTCATTGTCTTTATAGTTATTGTAGTTTCTTTTCTGTGTCTGCTATCAATGTAATCTGCATATCTTATGCTGTTGAGATTATGGCGGTCAATAATGAATCCCGGTAGGAATTCTAATTGTCTCCGGATAACCTCGCTGTATATGCTAAAAAGGTCTGGTGAGAGGATGCATCCTTGTCTTATACCAATTTTTATTTTTGTATATTTACTGAACTTATTTCATGTCTGTATGCAGGCAGTTTTCTGCTAGTGTAGTTTCTTGATTATTCTAATATCCTTCCCACATATGTCAAGGTTACCTAGCAGTTCCATGGATTCTTTATTGAACGTTTTTGCATGTCTATACAACATGGGTATACATATTTTTGCAGTTTCATTGCTCTTTCTGATATCATTCTGAGGATAAATATCACATTCTTTGTTCCAATGTCTTTAACGACCTGTATTGTTATTGCCTTATTTCCGGTCTGATTCTGTTGCGGGTTCTATTCATCCTTATTCAGATGATAAATTTTGGTACATGGTTTATTAGGCTGAGTGGAGTTCACATTTGCACCTGGCTTCTTAGGCAGTGCTATGAATATGCATATACTTTTGTCTTCAGTTATATCGCCATGGTTGTATATTGCATTTATTATGCCTAATACCAAAATTGCTAGCATTTCTATTACGATTCCGTCTAGTCCGTCTGCTTTGTTTCTGTTCAGTTTGATCATTGCTGATTTCACTGCAGATTTCAATATTTCTGGTCCTTCGTTGTTATCATCGTCGTGTAAGTGTTCTCCGGTATATTCCATCTCTGAAGTACTTTCTGAATTCTGTTGAGGTTTCTTCTAGACTCGATGAATTACTTAATTATGGTTATTTCAAATCTTCCTAATTATTTCTCTCTGTATATCCTTGCTAGAACCGGTTTCTAATGCTCTGGAGGGAGCGGCTTGGGGATAGTAGTCATAGCTCAGGGAGGAACAGTCCTATGGGTAAAAGAGAAACTCGGGGAAGTTCCACCACGGAATTTGTTATCGAGCGGCGATATATCGAGTCTAATTCGTTACCTCTTCGTCACCGAGAACTGTTAGAACAGTTGATATGGCTTTTGCCTCCTATCGTAATTATTCGGGTTTCAATTCTCGGTAG